GAAGGTTGTACTGCCCTGGCCTCAGCTTTGAATTCTAACCCTTTCCACCTGAGAGAAGTTTATCTGGATAGAAATAAACTTGGAGACAAAGGAATTAATCTGCTCTCTGATGTGTTGAAGAATCCATGCTGTAAACTGGAGATACTGAGGTAAAATAATCTCTCCTAAAGCTCTGATATATCTAAAAAAAAAAAAAAAACTTTTTTAATGTTGAGGAATTAAAGGAATAGTTTACCCAAAAAATGAAAATTCTGTCATCATTTACTCAATGTTTATGTCTTACACTGTGAATTATTCTTGTTTGTGGTAATTATGTTATGAATTAATAATGTTTTCACAGTATTATATAAAATGTTCCTTCTAAGCTTATCTCATATATCCTGAGCTTAAAGAGTGAAGAGAATTTCATTGTTCTCTCGTCAGTATGATCAGATGTGGTGTGACAGATAAAGGTTGTTCTGCTCTGGCATCAGCTTTGACATCAAACCCCTCACACTTGAGAGAACTGGATTTATCAGAGAATAAGCTTCAAGACTCAGGAGTGAAGAAGCTCTCTGGTGGACTTGCAAATCCTCACTGCAAGCTGAAAATACTGAGGTAAAATGCACAATGGTCTGATGCTCCTAATAATATGAGATGAGAGTTAATTGAATATTCTTTGTTACACTGCAGACTGATGCATTGTGGCATCACTCAAGAAGGTTGTGCAGCTCTGAGATCAACCTGTTCACACTTCATAGATCTGGATCTGTCTGGGAATAAACTAGGAGATTCGGGTGTGAAGCAGCTTTCGGCTGGACATTTCTGTAATATTGAGATACTAAAGTAAGAATGTGAGAGTCAAACATTTCCTTGTCCCCACTCAGGCACATATTAGTAATAGAAGTACACTGAATTGTGAATGACACTATAGAATGACTAGTATCATTTAGAGGCCTGCAAGCCCGTCGGGTCCCGTTTTTGTTTTTGATTTGAATTATTTAGTTTTAAAGTAGTAATTTAAAACGTTCTATAGATATATTTCGCAAGTCTGTGAGGCAAGTATTCGCTGAGTTTCGGTTCATCATTGTGAAGTGCTTCTGGCCAAAATTGCAGAAAGCATCCTGTATTTATCCTTTATTTTATAAAAGCACAACGTTTTGTTGATATTGTGAGTGCACACAAATAAAAGTAGACCCTTTACAGTTCCAAGTGATGTATTACTCTTACCTTTATGAGCAAAAATGACGGCATATTTTATGTTGTTTCCAATGCAAGTGATCGCGCCGGCACCTCCATGTCCTGTAAAGCGCGCTTTAGCTCTCTGCACAAACAATTAGATTTGCATCTAATAGCGCACATTTATATAGGTTAAACATTTAAACTAACATTGTGATATGCTTGAACTGTTTTATATCTATAGATTTTATTTTAGGCAAGTCATGATGATTTGAGAAGGCTAAATTGATCAAGTCTGCCGCTGGCCACTTGGTCGTTATTTTAAAAAACAAAAATTTACATTTAACAAACAAAAAAATGCTCCAAACGTTTTTCTAAATTAACTTAAAAAACGAAACGAAATATAATCACTTTGACATTACATACAAAACTGAACTATTTTAATAGCTGAAACAGTAGTATAAGCTGTTTTGGGAGAAGGGGGGGAAAAAAAGACGGGCTTGGGTCGAACTCGGGCCAAGAATTCTGATGAGCTGTCGGACAAGGGCCGGGCTAGGGCCTGAGCGTCTCGGGCCAGGGCTGGGCTAGGGCCTATATTTGAGGCCCGTGCAGGGCTCTAGTATCATTACATTTGTTTTAGTATCAATTTGCTGCTAAAGTACTTTTCACATCTGTCTACAGGCTGATGAATTGTGGTGTCACAGATGAAGGTTGTGCTGCTCTGGCTTCAGTTATGAAATCAAATTCAACAGACCTGAAAGAGCTTTATCTTGATAAGAATGAGCTCAGAGATTCAGGAGTGAAGGTACTCTCTGCTGCTCTGGAGCACCCTCACTGTAAACTGGAGACATTAAAGTAAGATTACCCCTCTCATTGACACCGCATCAAATCTGGCTAAAAGAGTCTTTCACAAAATGTTCCCTTCTGTGCTGATCTTATGCAAGTCAGAGAAAACAAGATGTACCTAATTGTGCCTAAAACACCCCTTACCAGTGGGAAAATCATTGCAATGCACAGGTTTATTCTTTTAGTGAACTCATGAAATTAACAAAATTTCAAAGCTGGTCATCTGTTTCTACTATTTTACTATTCCTCGACAAATCTAAGTTATTTTGAATTGCAACTATGGTTTTTTTTTTTTTTAAGTTTACATGATACATGGCATTTAAGAAACCACTGAACAGGAGGGAGTTTCTCTTTGTTCTTTCTGCAGGCTGTGGGATTGTGGTATTACTGATGAAGGTTGTGCTGCTCTGGCTGCAGCTTTGACATCAAACCCCTCACATTTGAGAAATCTTTATCTATTTGGGAATAAACTTGGGTACTCTGCAGTGAAGCTGCTCTCTGACCTAAGCGATGATCCACAAAACAAATTAGAGAATTTTGAGTAAGTATTTATACCATCAAATACAACTTTAACTAATATATACAATACTTATATTGTAAAGTAGTCACAAGTGCTGTAATATTTCAGCTGTAGTTCAGCACAAACTAAATATTAAGGACTTGTAAGCATGGGCGTAGCTTGTGGGGGGGCCAGGGTTGGCCTGGCTCCCCCATAGCCATTTAAGAATTTTACTAAATATTTATTTATAAAGTTTTTTCTATG